GTGACCTGTGGAATTGTAAACGTAATTTCAGTTATTTACTTAGACTAATCAGGTTTTACATGAAGCATTTTTATTTTTATGTGGAATTCTGTGCCATAAAAATAATCTAAATAAGATACCTGGGACAAAGTGATATATTGGAAAGAACATGCGACTTCTATCTGAAGACTTCACAAGAGCTCTGGCATCCTTTGTTCTTGGCAGGGTTAACATGGTTAAGTTACTTTCACTATTTTTAACTTTGGAAATACTTCCAAGAAAAATTGTCAGTCTGTCCATCCATCCATCCATCCATCCATCCATCCATCCACCCACCCACCCATCCATCTATCCTTTACCCAGAGGGTAGAAACCAGAGTTTGTCAGCATTCTCAGCCTATCTTTAGAGCAGCCCCTCTCCCTGGTTCACTGGGCTAACCTATTCCTCAATATTTCAATGTACTGGATGTCTAAGGTAGTGTCGAGTTCAGCACAGAGCAAGGCCAAGATCACCTTGGCACGTCTTTCTTTTACCTCGCAGTGACCCTCACCAGCTGACAATGCCAACCAGGAACAGCAACTGTGCTGGCTCCAAAATGAAAGTTTCAGTTTTGTACCTATATCTTTTTCTTTTCTTTACTAAGGCATCATATTTGTATAACTATCGGGAACATTATGGTAATTCCATTCATGTACATGTTGTGTGCTAATCAAGTCAGGTTAGAAGCATTTCTGTCTCTCAAACATTAATAATTTGTATGGGTTGGGAATTTCCTACTCTTCTAGCTCTTTTGAAAGATATCATGGATCAGTGTGACCAGTAGTTAGTTACCCTACTGTTCCATAGTAAAAACAGAACTAACACTCCCCCTCTCCAGCTGTCTTTTGGTGTACCGTTTCCTGCCCTTCCTGGTGGTTAGTGACTGCTCTTTCATTCTTTTCTTCTGTGACACTGACTTGTTAGTTCCCACAATGAGTGTGTTATTCCTTTTTATTTGATTTGACTTTGTAGCCATGGATTACCAAAGTAACCCTCTTCAACCCACTCACCACAGCCTTGTCCCTGGCTCCTGAGTGGAAAAACTTCAAATCCACCTCTCGGTGTTTATCCTTTGTAACTAATTGTGTTAGCATTTAATATTATTCTCATGTTTGAAATGGTATTCATTTTCAAAGGGTAAGGGAAGTATACATGCCACTGAGAAAAGTGATAAAAATTTAAAAATTTCATTTGTTATACTGTTTTCTGTTATCTAAAGCCATAATGTCTCTCAATTAGCACCAAGTGACTAGCGCTTTATCACTCATCAGGGCTCCAGAGAAACTCCTCTTATACATGGTAGATTTGATTTAATTTAAAAAAGTTAAAATGTGATGTTATTATTTAAAATTCCAATTAGAAAAATGCAATTTAAATGAAAACCGGTTTTTTTAGAAAGCACTAATTGCTTTATGTGATGATCTTGAACATATTTTTTACAACTTAGATATGTCATCTAGATTTTAAAGATTTCCTCATATATCTGAAAACAATAATTTAGCTATATTAGTTATAACTAAAAATAGTATATATTTAAGATTAATTTTCATGTCAAGTGAGAACTTGGGAAATATTTTTGCCACGCTGAATGGAAAAATAATGATTATTTAAAACAGATGGTTTGATTTATCTCAAGCAACAACTTATGCATTCAGAATAAAATTTGCATTTATTAATTTCTTTATATTATAGTGTGCATTTATTAATTTCTATATATTATGTTTATAGATATCTGTGCTCTAAAGCACATTTTAGACAAGGCATTTAACATTGTATAACTTACTCACTTTTAGTTCAATAATTGGATGAAGTTTTATCTTTATTTATTTTATTTTGATCTATTTTGTTATTATTATTATTATTATTTTTTGGTACTGGGTATTGAACTTGGGACTTTGTACTTGTGAGGCAGGCAGCAGAACCACTGAACTAAATCCCTGACCCTGGTCTAAGTTTTAAACAGACACACACATGAAAGATAACAACTGAGTATGACATATGTGAATAGTACCTTGCTAGGTAATACTGATCATGACTGAAAAATGACAGTAGGAATAGGCAACTAAAAATCAAATAGGTAAAATATATTAAACCGGGCGTGGTGGCTCACGCCTGTAATCCCAGCACTTGGGAGGCTGAGGCAGGAGGATCACTGTGAATTCGAGACCAGCCTGGGCTACATAGTGAGTTCCAGGTCAGTCTCAACTACATAGTGAGACCCTGTCTCAAACAAAACAAAACAAAACAAAACAAAAAAACCCCAAAAGATATATGTCAATGATAATAAGTACTAAGGAAAAAACAAAATGAGGGGCTTGTGGGTAGCAGCTCTAAAGGGAGTTCAGGGAGGCAGTACAGTGATGTTTAAGAGGCAGTGAGGATTTGGAGAGGAAGGTACTGCTAGTGGCACTGAATCAGAAAGGCCCGTCCTTCCCATGGGCAGACTCTCTGCAGCTGAATTATGCCAAACCTTAAGAATAAGTCAGTGTGCTGTGAGAGGGTTTTGCTGTCATCCAAGGAGAATGTAAACCTCAACTCTGGTCTCAAAACTGCATTCCTTGTATATCAAATCAAATCTATTCTTTCATTGTATAGTATGAACTAAGTAAATCAAGAGGCTCTTCAGATCAATTAAAGATTGCAATAAATTTCAAAGTAGAAAATTATTTACCCTTTCTTTTAGCAAGTTTCCCACTGAGTAATCTATATTATATCTGCATGTTTATCAAATATGTATTTGTAAGGAAATTTAGCACAGCATTATTTGCAATAGCAAAAGTTTAGAAACAATTGAAAGGATGACCCAGGGAGAGGTTAAATAGGTTATGATACATTTATACAATATAGAATGAGCAACTTGCGCTCTGAATACCAGCATAAAATAATTTCCACAATAAACTACCAAATAGGAAAGAAATACAAGTAGGAAAGGAAGAACTATTTTAGATCTGATAAACAAATTCAGCAAAGTGACAGGATTCAAAGTTGTACAAAAATCAATAGATTTTCAATTGTATTTATTGACCAAGAAATCAAGAAAACAATTTTACTCGTATTAGCTTTAAAAATACTAGGAATCAACTTAACCATAGAGGTTATAGATATCTATAATGAAAATTACAGAACATCAAAGTAAGAACTTGAAGAAAATATGAAGGACCTCCCTTGTTCATGTATCCATAGAGTTAATATTTTTTAAATGCCCATGTTACTGAAAGTGATCTACAGATTCAGTGTAGTCCCCATCAAAATTCCAAAAACGTTTTTCACAGGGCAAGTAAAAGTAACCCTAAAATTTGTGTGGAAACACAGGGCAGGTAAAGCAATCCCAAGCAAAAAGAGCAACCCTGGAAGTATCACAATACCCAATTTCTAAATATACCACTAATCCATACTGACAAAAACAGCATGGTAGTGACATAGAAATAGACATGTAGACCACAAATAGAGGATGCAGAACAAACCCGCAAAATTTTAGCCAATGATTTTTTGACCAAAGGGTCAAAGATATACGTTGAAAAAAACCCCAATCTTTTTAATAAATGGTGCTAGGAACTAGATATGCATCTGTAGAAGATTGAAATTACATCCTCTCTCTCTCACCCAGTCTTAGTCAATTTCATGTTTCTGAGACACAAGACCTGACACCAGGAGAGGTTTATTTTGGTTCCTGGTCATCGTCCATGGTTGGCTGAAAAAGGATGGCAGAGGTCAGAGCAGAGGACAAGCTGCTCACGTCATGGTGGCCAGGAAGCAGAGAATTTAAGAAGGAAGCAGAAAGGGGGCTCTGTTTTACCCCAGGCCTGCTTCCACCTGCCGGGCCCCACCTTCCAATAGCACACTGGGCTGCTGAACTCCCCCATAGATGATCCTCTGATCCAGATATTGCCCCATGGTCCAATCACTGCTCTCAAGCCCGGCCTGTGAGCCCATGAGGGCTTTCGGGACATTCTTGACCTTTAAACCGTAATACACTCTGTATAAAAATCAATTCAAAATGGGTCAAAGACCCAAGAATACCACCTGAAACTTTGGAACTGCTACAAGAAAACAAGGCTAAGACAATTGAAGTCATAGACACGGCAGTTTTTCTGAATAGGAACAGCATAGGAAATAGTAGCAAGAATTGACAGATGACATTGCATCAAATGAAAAGATTCCTACACAGCAAAGACAAGAGAGAGAGACAGCCTACACACAAAATAAGAGCAAGTTTGGACCAGCTATTCTTCTGACAGAGAATTAATATCCAAAATATGTAACCTCCCAAGTTAATTGGGTAAGTGAATCAAATAGGCAACGTCTCAAAAGAAGTACAAATGGTCAATAAGTATATGAAAAATGTTCAACATTTCCAGCCATTATGGGAATGCAAATCAAAACTCTTCTGAGATTCCTTCTCTTCCCAGCCAGAATGGCTATCATCAAGAATACAACAAACAAACAAACAAAAAGCAATGTGGAGAAAAAGGAACCTTTCTGTGCTGCTGGTGGGAATGTAATTAGTAAATCACTATGCAAATCAGTGTGGAGGCTCCTTGAAAAACTAAAAATAGAGCTGCATACCATCCCTGAATATACACTCAAGGGAGTTATAGTCAGCATACTGTAGGGTACCTGCATATCTATGTTTATTGCGGTGCACTTCACAACAGCTAAGCTATGGAAAATAGTCCAGCTGACCATCAACAAATAAGTGGGCAAAAAAAATGTGGTCTATGAATATACCATGGAATATTATTCATCAGTAAAGAAGAACAAAATCTTGTAACTTGCAGGGATGGAACTGGTGAGAATTATGTTAATTATCCACACAGTCAAATACTGCAAGTTTTCTCTCGTAAGTGGAATCAGAGAGATCAAGAGAAGAAGAGGGAAGAGAAGGAAGAGAAGGAGGAGGAAGGAGGGGAGAAGAGACTAGTATAAGCTTAGAGATTTATATTTCTTTCTTTCTTTTTCTTTTTCTCTTTTGCTTTCAAAGGTAAAGCCAGTAATACACAGCAGGATCAACGTGTCAGCACGCTTTAGAAAACCACTCCAGGAACCCTGCACGATCTTGTAAGTTGAAGCCCTTTCTATCATGGGTTGGAATTGTCTTCACGTTTTCCTTTTGATTTGGAATTTGGGTTTTATAAGCATTATCTGTTTCAAATAGTTTGGTTTCTTCTCCCACTACCCTCTAGCTTGATCGCTAACGGAGACCTCATAAGTCCCGTTTCTCGCCTCCTCATCCCCAGAAAGGCCTTGAATCAGTGGGATCACGTACTACAAATGGTCACAGAAAAAATCACGCTCAGGAGCGGGGCAGTCCACAGGTATGTGAGGCCCTCTCCTAGCAGGTGGAGGGGCTTGGATTGCTGCACGTATTCCTGGCAGGTGATGGAGCTGCTGGTCACTAGATTTGACTTTGGGCTCCCCAGGTGGGCAGTGTTAGCCTCAGTTTCTTAGTCTGTGGGATGGATATGCAGCAGTTCTTGTCCCATGGGGTCATTTTAAGAAACAAGGCAGTCCACGTGAAGAGCTAATAGCCCTGGGTCCACTGATTCCATCAGAAAGAATTAATGTTCTTTACTCCTTCATGCTTGAGTGCATGGGCGAGCATCAACAATTGTAGTGAGGACTTTGTTTTGACAGAAGCAGCTTCTTGACTCTTAATTAACTCTTTTTTTAAAAGGCGATATAATTATTTGATGATTCTAACTATGTATCTAGGATAAAAAAAACATCAAATGCCAGGAGATGTTCATGACTTTAAGGAGTTGGCAGGTTAGAGAAGATAAACATCTAAACTTAAAATATTAAAAGAGTTTTTCTTGGGCTCTAAAATTTAAGTGAACATGATTGAAATCATGGTTTTTAACTTTTGAAGCCTATCAAATTATCCCTCGATGGAGGCTGACTTACTTGTTTCTTTCAGGTGAAAGCCACAGATAATATACAATAATACATGTACACATGTATTGAGAGCGTGCAATGCACACATAAATATTTGAAATCCAACCAAGGAGTTTCCTGATAGATACCTCCGATATATTGCACTGGTGAAATCCACTCTTATTTTTAAGTTCTCATGTTCACACACTCAATAATATATGCTCTCAAATGACTGTATATTTTGTCTTTCAGTTAAATGTGTAGATTAATGTATGCATATTTACATATATTAAGATATAAGCTTTGTAGTCATTGAGATTTTAAATATAATTGTTTTATTGAAAGTAATGCTTAGGGGCTGGGGATTTAGCTCAGCGGTTCGGTGGCCTGCCTTGCAAGCAAGAGGACCTGAGTTCAATCCCTGGTACCCCCCCAAAAAAAGTGTTTCTCCCCCTTCAGCCCTGCCCCCAGTACTCTTGCAACAGTCTAAAAATATCCTATGCTTATGCAAGCATAGATGTCCTCTATTTCTTTTTTTTTTCAGCTTTAATTGAGTTTATTGGTACATTTTAGGGATACAGTACAGTTACATTCTTTGTTGGGATCTTGTACCTCTACGTGACAAGTCTTGATTCTCATTTTTTCCCCTTACCCCTGCCCTCCCTTCACCCCCTCCTCCCCTCCCCATCTACAAACACTTTATTTTCATCTTTTCATTCTCTCATATTTTTTTCTTTTCCCTTTTTTACTCTTCCCCTACCCATCCCACCTTCCCTACACCTTAAAAAGGCATAAATGTGACACGTGCACAAATAAATAAATATATGTGGACATAATACTCCTTCCTGGCTTTTTTATTGAAACAACAAATCTGAGAGGTTATTCTTAGACGATGGCAAAGGATTCCATTTTGTGGGTGTGTCCCAGTTTATTTTACTGTATCCTCTAGTTGGAAATTATAGATAAATTCCAATCTTTGCTCTCACAGGAGCACCTCTTTGAACATAAGCAGAGTTTGTTAGGACACTCAAGGTTAGGGTGGAATTGTGTCATGTGCAGATGCATTTTAAATTTTGATAAATACTGCCACAGAATTTGTACTAAGTCATGCAATCCTCAAAGGTTCACAAGAGGGCCTCTCCTGTGTTCACCCTTAACTATACTGTAAAACTAAGGAAATATTTTGTCTTTTCATTCATGTTGGGTAAAAATTATATTTCATTGTCTTGATGTTTATTTGATACACAATATCTCTTTGATTATTTCTTGTGTTCCAGGAATTATTACAACTGCTTTATTTTTTTTTTCATTAACTCAGTGATCCCATGAAGCAAGTAGTGTTATTCAACTTTCAAAGATATGAAATGGCAGAGCAGGAAAATGACTTGCCCAGGGTTAGGCAGACAGTGAGAAGCAGGGCTGGAATTGAAGCCCAGCAGGCAGTCTGGCTCCAGAACCTGTGTTCTTAATTACTAAGCCACTCTCTAAGAAAACGACACGTATATGCATTCCATTATGCAAACCATCCCTTATCTTATTAATTTATGCTATTCTTTCTACATTTGGCTCTTTCTCAAGTGAGTTTTAAATATTTCCAGCTTGCATTTTCTTTTCCTTTTTTTTTTTTTGGTCTTTTGAGACAGGATCTCACTATATAGTTGAGACTGACCTGGAACTCACTATGTAGCCCAGGCTGGTCTCGAACTCACAGCAATCCTCCTGCCTCAGCCTCCCGAGTGCTGTAATTATAGGAGTGCACCACCACGCCCAGCCGAGCTTGCATTTTCTTTATATTTCTTTGGCATACATTTTGAATTTTGATGTCAAATTTTCAATCTTTGTGCTAAGTTTGCTGACTGTCTTAGATCTACCTGACTCTCAGACCATTATCTCGTCTTTTGACATCTACATAAGTGCAATCTCACCCAATAAATTATAAAGCATGGAGAAATATGTATAGACAATGTTATGCCTTAGTATACCTTCTTGTGCCCAAATATACTTCTCATATGTATATATCTTTCCATATACAAATTTATATAAACAAATTCATATGTAGAAATAAAACATGTGCAAGTGTAACATATAAATGGAACCATATGTCTCCTGAACACTTGAGTTCTTAGAGAAACTTAGTTCTTAATGTAAGGTCAGATGTGGGTGAGATTTGATGGATGCTCGTTTGGAACAAGCCCTCTTTTCTTTAACAGGACATTCCGAATTCTTTCTATGCATCGGCACAACTTATGTATCAGTAGCATCCCATAAAAATTGGTTCGACTCCTACTTTATGATTCTTATGTTTTGTAGCAAAGGAAGAAAGCAAGCCAACCAGGGCAATACAGAAGAAAGTGAAATCATGCATTAGGATTTATTATTCTTTAAATTGTTGTTTTGTTTTGGTTTCATCGGTAGCGGGGATTGAACTTGAGACTTTGTGCTTTTAAAGCAGATGGTGGAACCACTGAGCTAAATCCCCAGCCCAGGATTTATTAAATATTCTTTATCTGGTACCCATAGAATAAATTAGTCCAGTCCTAGATGGAGATTTGGAGACCACAGCTATGTTGCCTTGGAAGTTTGAGCTGTAAAAGTTAACTGCTGATTCAGATCTAAACATTCAGAAGGGAAATGAAAGAAGAATGTCTGGCTCCAAGCCAGCGCTTCTCAGCCAGGTGCAGTTTTGCCCCTGGGGATGGTTGGCAGTGTGGAGAGTTGGGTTTGGTAGTCGCAGCTAGGAACGAGAGTGGTTGCTACCTCCCTGGCAGAGCCAAGGGTGCTGCTAAGCATGCTGCAGTGGACAGGACAACTTCTTCCCTTGCCAACTAAGAACCTGGGGTCCAAAATGTGAACCATGCTGCTGCTGCTGCTCAGAAACTCTGGTCTTGGGCAAGATGGGAGAAACAGCAACCAGTCCATATTGAGATGTGTAGCGGCACAAGGACCACACTACAAGAAAGAGACTTTGCTATCTGTATACAACTGGAAATAAATACTTTTCAGGGGGTTGTGACTATTTTCAGTGCCCTTCAGGACTGTCTATGGTACACCCGCTCATGTGATCAGTAAACAGACAGCTCAACGGCTTTTCTTTTTATTTTTGCAAAAGTTGATAACCTTTACTATGTAATTGGAATCCTTCCAGCAACTGGCTCATGATAACCTTCAAAAATATGCACTGTTTTCCTGGCTTAGTTTTTTAATGGTCTTTTTAAAAATCCTCTATCTTTAAAAAAAAAAAAAAAAAAAAAAAGGTCTGTGGGCATCCCAGATCATCTAGTAAAATTATCACTGTTCATTTAATAAGTAATGCAGTAATTTGGTTCACAGCAGCCTTAGAGTAAAGGAAGGTGTTGTGAAATCCCGGAACTAGAGGGTGTGGGTACACTCTCTTGCTAGGAGCCGGCAGGGAAGACAGAGGCATGAATGCTGTGTAGTTCCACATCAGTGATGCTGGTCAGGGTTTTCCTGCTCCCGCTACAAACCTCCTTGGTTCTGACCCAGTTCTGTCTGTGTGTGGTTGTGATACTTTGCCGGGGGCTCTTCTTATGCAGAATGTGCCCAGCAGCTTGTCAGCCTAATAAACACAGACACAAAAATTGCATTTAAACAGTGCTTACAAAATGTAAGTAAAAAAACTTACTCTTCCACTGTAGCTTTGATGTATTTAGAGCACCATGTTCTGTAGAAGGCTTTTTTGGTGGGGGAATGTGGTTCTGCCGATGGAACTCAGGGGTTACTGAGCTACATCTCCAGCCCTTTTTATTTTTTATTTTGAGACAGGATCTCCCTAAGTTCCTCGATCTGTCCTTGAACCTGATACTTCTGTCTTGGTCTCCTGAGTAGCTGGCTGCACAAGTTATGTTTTTCCTCCTTTAAAATTGTAATATGCTAGCACCGTGGGATCCTTGTGGTCAGTAGTGACACTGGAAGTCTTATACATCTAGATAGTAACAGATCTACATTTTTTTCTTTTCTTTTTCTTTTTTTTTTTTTTTTTTTTTTTTTTTTTTTTTTTTTTTTTTGGTACCGGGGATTGAACTCAGATCTACATTTTAAAGCAGGCTTTTCACTGAATCTAGTGACTTTGGGGATTTATAGTTCAATAATTAAAGAATAACACATGAACAAAAGAACAGAAGGTTTTTATTTACGTTGTAATTTAAAGCAGTTCTTTAAGTGCTTATTAAAATTCTAATTGTTGGCACTGATATTTTGACAGACTTTATACTTTAGAAGGAAAACTTGTTGAGAATGGGGCGGAGCTGGAGAACGGACAATTTTACGTGGCTGTTGGAAGAGACAGGTTTAAGAAATTGCCTTATAGTGAGTTACTTTTTGACAAGTCCACCATGAGGAGGCCTTATGGGTAAGTCTTTCTCTTCCTGCATCCTCGTCAGGCTTTGATTATCACTTGAAATAGCACTGGGTCTTTTGCTGACCACAATTTTATCTTATGTAACCGATAATCTTTATTTATCAGCTAGACTGAAAAACATGCATGATATATGTTGTCCTTTTTTTTTCTTGCTATAGGAGCTATTGCACAAAAAGCTAATATTTTAGAACTTATGAAAGACTCTCATATTATTATTTTTTTCTTTGCTCTAAATTTATAGTAAAATAAAGATTTATTCTTGTGAAGAAGATTCAGGGAGATGTATCTTCTATATATAAATTTTCTGTATAAATCTTTCTCTATATAAATGTATCTTCTCTATATAAATTTTATTGGCATTTTAGTATCTGAATGATTTAGCTAGACCAAATAATTTTTTCAGTTAATTCTGGTAGAAGCACCCAAAGATTGTTAAAAGAAAAAAAGTCAACACCATAATTTACATTTCTTTCAATAGCTGTAAATTACAAAAGCATTATCATTCCACTCATACAAGTCAACACTTGAGTGTATAGCATGTGTAGGCCTAAAGATTACACTTGAGATTGCATACAATGCCCTGTGAACTTTGCTGTCTCCAGGAGATGTCATGTGTGGTGAAAGGTGCTTGGTCTCAGCTCAGTGTGTGCACAGCAGGGCTGGGGAGGAGAGTTTTAGCCCACAATGGGGACCTCTCGGCCTGCTCACCCGGCCCTGGGATTCCTCTTGTGTTGCTTTTCACAGAGATTCTGGGGCCACTGTGTTGTGGGAAATCAAATTTTTGTGGTTGTCTCCTGCAGAGATAGAACAGACTAACCCCAGAGTATTTTTCCAAGTTGTGTCACTTGTTGGGGAGGCTGGCTAAGCTTCGAAATGGGTAATAGAGGAAAGGGAGCCAAGGTCTTAACCCAGCCTTTCTAGGAAATATCCCTGACCCCACCTTACTGAAAATCCTTGTATGCTTGCTATGTGACTTGCTCCCCCATTTGACCCCCATTTAATCAATATTACCTGGGTGACTGCACTTGTAATCTCATTGGTTGGTCATGGTTTTGCCCCACCTCATGTCCACCTTGTAATTTTCCATTGGGTCTTACAGTTTTGTCCCACTTGTACCTGCCTTACCACATGGCTCGGCTGTATAAACATCTTTGAAAATTAGGGTGAGTGGGCAACCCACTTTCTGGTCCCCTTTCCGTCTCTCTTAGACAGAAATTTCCTTTTCCTCAATAAATATTTCCTACTCTTAAAAAAAAAAAAAAGCAGAAAAAAGGAAATTCAAGGGCAGTGTGTGAGCAATGTGGGAGCATATGGCTTCCCAGCACTTTAGAATTATTTAGCAGGACACTTATTGCTAACAATCCTTACTCATCCAAGAAATCAAATCCTTTTGCAATTTCTGCTAAGCAACACTAGGTTACCCAGCTATAAGCAGCAGTGTGTACTTGACAGTAAAATGAAAACTATCACTCATGTTGGCCTACTAGTAAGATTCACCTTTATTTTTGTGTCCTGCTGCGGCAGACATTCAGTGGAGTTTCAAGATGGGTTTTTTCCTAAGAGTGTAGACATTCTGTGTGGCAATTTATAGTCTAATAAAGAATTTTTTACTTTTGATGACTGGTTTACCTGTATGTAAATGTCATTATCTCCTCATTCACTTCTATGAGAAGTAGACATAGTGGACAGTAGAAAAGCAATGAAAATTTATATTTTTAACTCAACCTGGCAAGTCAATACTTAGTTTGAGAAATGAACTCATGTAGCCCAGGCTGGTCTTGGACTCACAGCGATCCTCCCGCCTCAGCCTCCCGAGTGCTGGGATTACAGGTGTGCACCACCATGCCCAGCTAAGCATCAGTTAATGTACACAGGAAAACATTAAAAATCTTTTGAAATGGAATTTGGAGATTGTATGGTAGTCATTGTGGAAGTGAGAAAGTATATAGCATCTTCTGTATAACACAAAATATCAGTGAACAGTTGACTTCTGAGTTGGGCTGACAATTATTTTGCATTTTATATTATTTGTAAATAGCATCCAGATGTCTAAATTGCGATTTCTTTCCACAGTCAGAAAGCTTCTTCACTGCCTCCTATTGTAGGATCCAGGAAGTCTAAAGGGAGCGTAAGTATCAGATGCTTTCCTCATTAATGTTCTACATTTCTGTATGAGAGATTGTCCTTTGGGTTTCAATTAAATTCAAAGAAATAAGACTTGATTGTCTTCTGCCATATAAACAATTATATGAAGCTACACTAGAACTTTAATGTTATAATTAAGTACCTAAAACACAGCTGATATTTTTAGAATATAGATTTCAGAATTTTTACATATGTGTGTGTGTATATATCTGATATACTTTAAAGTATGTTGGAATCTGGGCAATAATACATGAAACAAAAATAACCTTAATAGGTCACACCAATGGTCAACTCAGACTTGTTTTCTAGCTCTGAGAAAGATTCAAAAAGAAGTTTGAAAGGAAGAAAAGAGTAGTCCCCAGTCATTTTTCTCCAAAAGATTGAGAATCATTTCAAATATTTAATTCTATGTCCAAATCTTTTCCACTTGTCATTCATTCGTTATTTGTTCCACGAACTTTTATTAAACACTTATTGTGTAGGTACTGTGACAAGCAGTTAGTAGGTAAATTTTTAACCTATTTTCAGTGGGAGCCCAGACTCTCTACAGGGTGGACCTCGTGTCCTGCTCTGTGTCCCTTATGTGTTGCTCTGGCTGAGCCTTCTTTTTCTTCTTTCCCTCTTGATGGAATCACCAGCAGGGGCCAGAACTGGTGTGGCATCCCCCACCCCACACTGAATTAATGAAGCCACATCCTGACTTTGGAAAAGAAATGATTTATATACCATGAGGCCATCATTCCCCTTTTGTCCTATGAAATTCTTGAAAAAAAAGAAAACGAGTTTGGTATGCATAAGTAGTACTGACCTCAGCACCACAGACAGACATTTATGAGCAACCATTAGCTGGGATCTTGTCCTATTTCTGATAATGCTCTTGTCCTCAAGAAACACATGATCTAATGGAAACAGAGAAGACAGCTTGTAAAGGCAACAAACAAGTGAAAGCTACAAATCAAAGACATGTTGAGGTTGGTGACTGTGAGGGGGACAAGGAGCTGGTGAGCACTGCCAATGAGGAAGCTGAACTCGAGCTCTGCCTTGAGGACCACGTAAGACTCGGGTGAAGGGTGACAGGGGACAGGGTTTGAGGTAGCAGGGATGAGACAGGAGACTGAGCAGGTGGAAAGGCAGTCATGCTGGCTGGCATCCATGACCACTGAGGGCTCCACACTGAGCCAAGCTCCTACAGGAGCTGAAGAGTGACCCACCAGAGAAACTGAGGCATTTAGAGCATGGGAATTGCATTTCATTCTCTTGCTTTCCTTTATTTGCTCCTCACCCCCAAGGCCAGTAGCCTGATGACCTGCCTTTAAGATGAAAAAGGAGGCACAGAGGACAGCAAACAACTGTCTGAGGCTCCCCTTGTGCCCATGGCAGGGAGGAATGGAGCTCAGGGTCTGCTGAGAGCTCGGTGCTCACCCTGTGGGACAGATGCCCATGGCAGATGAAGACTGAGCACCAGAACAAAGAGTCCTGTTGTTGTTCTCCTTTTTTGTGACCCTCAGGTCTTTTATGCAGGGAAGGACTGAACATGATGGGAGGCCGAAGATTTGTCCTGTTGTGAGGCAATCGCAGTGGCCTTGGTATAAGGAGATAGGAGCCTGGGCCAGGGGCTCAGGTAGCAGGTGATGACTATGGAGATTGGATGTACAGGGGATCAGAGAGAGGTAGGAGCCAGAGACAACCCTAGACTTTCTGACGTGGGATGCCAGAGATAATGACCTGCTTTATTTCAAACTTGTCCTGTTGGACGCGTCACCATGAAATCTAGTTGGAAGTGCTCAGCAAGCAGTGGGGGCCTGTTGAGGACATTGTGGCTGCAGACAGCTGTGACTATGGTGTTCCCTGAGGAGCAGAGGTGACCACTGAAGAGCCACAGAAAACCCGTGAATGCAGGTTTGGGGAATTGGGTTTTGCTCTCTTGTAGCCTGCCTGGTCCTTGCACAGAACGTAAATGATACTTGAAAAGACTCAGTGTCACTGGATGACTGACCCAGGGGACAGGGAAAGTTGAAACCAGGACCAAGCTTATGACTCAACTCTTCACATACATGATCACTCAGATTTGGAATTTCTTGTCTACTTTTCTGAAATGTAAAATCTAAATTTTTCACTGGAAAGTGTAACATGTCTCCTGCATGAAGATGCATGAGCCACAAACACCTGCAATTTTTTTTCTCAGGCTCCGTGTTGTCAACACTGGCCCATCTAATGTTGATTATTTTGTGTGTGCCTGGCTGGTCCTGAGCCCTGGGGAGACAGGCATGAGAAAAAGACACCACGTTCTCCCAGATGCACATGGTCTACTGGAGGAGACAGGGTTGAACCGAGGATAGCACAGATCAGTGTATGGTTAATGTATGGTAAAAACAAGAGAGTAATGTGAGAGACCGTAAAACAGAAGTCCACGGGTGTGTCAGGAGAACCCCCCGGAGAATGTAATTCTTAGATAAAGTCAAGGTAGAGTCCCATCCTATGGAAGGTAGACTCAGAAGTATCAAACATTTCCTGGCATGGTCTGGAAAAATAAAATGCTAACAGATTCTGTCTCCCTTCTCCCAGTGTCCTCACAATACTCCACCACCCTATCTACCGTCTGTTCAGCATGTGTTTACTAAGCACTTACTAAGTGCTCTATCCGCAGGCGCCATGCAGTGGTGAAGACAAAGGAGTCTGACCCCGGGAACTTTCATTGTAGACCCGCGCGGGCGTGCGGGCGTATGGGGGAGGCATCCAGACTTTCACTCTAAGATGTATACATTTCCAATGTATACTAAATAATTTCTGATGGCAGTGAGAGCTGCGAGCAAGCTAAAATGTGGCAGGGCATTCGTTTGTATAAAATCACCCGACACATAGATGTGAAGGAGCCACTCATCCCCAGGAGAGGCAACAGAGTCACCCCAGCCCTTGGTAACGCGAGTGGCCTGTGAGGAGGGGGCGACAGGCAGCCAGGTTGGTCTGCGCTGAGGTGAGAGTGGCAGGGATGCAGGACGAGCACATGAGGGCCAGGCGAGGCATTTGGACCGTATTTTTTGGGGGGGTGCCGGCTGGGGCCTTGGGA